ATGCCACCCCTTTCCTCAGGTCCAGACATTGTCGAAACTGCTCCAAGGGGCTCTGATACCACTTGTTATAGTCACAATAGGCTTGAATGTGCCTAAAACGAAAGATAGAGAGCACAGACGGATTTCTGCACAGCGGCTTCAAACGTTGATAGCGTTCTGCTCACAGCTGCAAATGACTTGATTCAAATTGGATCTGGAGCGTCTTCACGTCGTCTACAATTAGCAATTTAGATTGCACAATTTGATAAATAATTGACGACACAGCGTCGGTTTGAACGAACGGTACTATGGCAGCCACTATAGTCTTAGAACACAAGATAGGAAGAGTTACGAGTTGGGAATGACTCCCAGCTCCTACAAACCCCAAGAGCCGAGGTACAGTGATGTGTAACAGTGCCACACTGTCCCCAACCACGAAGGGTCTCGAAACTACCCTTCACTAGGGCCTACACCAAGTGAAATGTTACACTACACAAAGTAATGTAACTATCTTCAATATCTTGAGGTGTACCCTTTTGGCAAGCTTCGAAATCACTTGAGGCTTGACACCAAGGCTCGGGCTCTTCATCACAAACTCATCCTTGAGTTCTTGATGGGTCTGCTGCACACACCTGCGACACGCCGAACGTTCGACACAGGACAAAATAGAAACCGCGCACGACAGAATAGAAACCGCGCGCGAGACACAAACGACCGCGTAACACGCGTCTAGCGATAACTCGCTATTGACTCGACACACACACTCGACATCATGACTCAACATTCACACACAATTATAAGCATGAAATATATATTATCCCATGCCCTCATACCATTCCATACACACACACATTCACGCACACGGACAACAAGCCGAGTGCAAACCGTAGGGTTGCACCAACAGTTAAGAGGGTGTTGCGCTACCTGTGCAGTACGTCGGGCATGGGGCTCGTGTTTGGAGGACGGGCTCGAGTTGTCCTCACTGGTCACGCAGACGCTTCTTGGGTTGACGACTTGGCTACGCGGCGGTCGTCACAGGGTTACACCTTCAGCCTTGGTTCCGGCTCTGTTTCATGGCGGTCTACCCGCTCGTCTTCTGTTCTCAGCTCCAGTTGTGAGGCTGAGATCTACGCAGGGGCCATGGCTGCACAGGAGTTACGCTGGCTCACCTACCTGCTGACCGACTTGGGAGAGGTGCCTCGTTCTCCTCCAGTTCTGTACGTCGACAACAAGGCCATGCTGGCCTTGTGTCAGGAGCACAAACTGCAGCACAGAACGAAGCACATTGCTCTGCGCTACTTCCTTGCTCGAGAGTTGCAGCAGCGTGGTCAGCTTCGTCTTGCTTACGTGGCCTCTCGGGCCAACACTGCTGATGTCTTTACCAAGGCACTTCAGCCTTGTGATCATCAGCGTTTCTGTACTATGCTTGGTCTTGTGCCTACCGGGCCTCACTTGCTTACCTCTTGACTTTGCTTGTACTGTGATCTATATATACCTGCACCTGCATGCTTTCACTTGCTAGGTTGAGATCACTGTCTTGGTTGTTCACCTTGATTTATAATCCTGCATGTGAACTGGCCTTGTGGCCTTGAACTTGTGCTCAGAATGTGTGGTGACATTGTGATCCACCCTGAGCTTGACCTTGCCTTGTTCTCTTACTTGTCCCCCACTTTGCCTATGGGGGTGTGTCAGAACTATATTGTAGGCTGTAGTGGGGTAGACAATATGGGGTACAACTCTTTTAGGTTTTCATACTTGTACCCACCTGCTTCCTAGTTGATTCATTCCCTCGTTCATTCTTCACACCATCGCCATCGCGCTCACGTTCCTCCCTCCCCTCGCCATCGCGCTCACGTTCCTCCTCTCCCCTCCCATCCTGTCGTTCGCCACCTCTCTCCCATCCCGTCGTTCGCCTCCTCCCATCCCGTCGAATTCTTCCTCTCCCCTCCCATCCGTCGTTCGCCACCTCTCTCCCATCCCGCGTTCGCCTCCTCCCATCCCGTCGAACTCTTCCTCTCCCCTCCCATCCCCTCGTTCGCCTCCTCTTCCCTCCCATCCCCTCGTTCCTCCTCTCTCCCCTTTCTTCCCGTCGCTCTTGTGATCTCCCCTCCCATCCGCTGGTTATTACCTTGTCCAACTTATTTTCTCCCCTCGTTCTTCGACACCCAAAATTTTAACCTCTTTCAGCCCCAAGACCAAGGAAACATCTTTTCTCTCAGCTCTGCTCTCAACTTTTGCATATGTGTGCACTGGACTTTGCCTGTGTTGTTGATTGATGTGAGTTTTGATGAAGTTACGATGACTGCTCGAGTGAATACACAAGTATGTGTGAGTTGTGTATGAGTGTCGCTGCGAATCATAATCATGTGCATGGTCCAAATGTTCTCCCTTCACAATGAGACTCGTATGGAGTGAAAAAATAAATATGCACAGCACTTCCAACTGTCCCAAGTGTTCCAAAAAAACTTATGTTTTCAAGTGGACCCAACTAGAAGGGGGGGGTCACTATTTTAGCTGCTGGCTTTAATAGGCCTGCACTTATAACCGGGGTGATACGGTATTTGTGTAACGGCGGGTGAGTCTGCCTATAACCCCTAGGCCAACGTGCCTGTAACCCTTTTCCACAAAAAAATGTCTTGAATTTGCTTGATCTGAATCCCACCATCTCACTCATTCATTGACTTCTCTTAGACATTTCCGTATTCATTGACTTCTATCTGATGTTACCGCGTGGTGTCAATCTGCATGCCCCCCTCGCTGCACAGCTGACAGCGGGTCCATCTGGTTCTGGGACTGGAGAGCCGCCACAATTTCCAGCAGACTCAAACCATCGTGCAGCCCGGTGGGTCTCTCTACCCTCAGTCCTCGCCATTTGTAACTGTGTGTTGATCGACTGGACTCTCGTCGTCTTCCGCCAGTGACTCTTCTATCCCGATACAGTCCCTTCCCATGCTCCCTAGTGACCTGGTTCTGTCTCTGCTGCTCTCGCGGCTCTATAGACACTGTCTCAAATGGCTGCATCTATCCCAACCCCCGTCCCCTCTGCGTATCTGCATGCTACGCCACCCACCCAAGCATCCTTCACACATGAATCTGCGCTCTGCTACTTCAACCAATCACGCCCGTTTTTTGGACTCCTCCATACCCTATATCTGTTCTTCCCGTTCGCCTTCCCCAGGGTCGCTTGACAGTGATGCAGGCATCTATGCGATGGGCTTTGAGGTAACAAGCAAGCGCCTGGTGACGTGTGAAGCAGATAAAACGATCAAGATATTGAAGGTGGACGAAATCGCTACGCCCAAGACACACCCCATCAATTTCCGGCCACCCGAGGACATGCGGCGCTTTTGAAACAAATGGTTCATGCACAATGTGGTTCAGAAAGCCTTCATGAAAGGTTTTCTAACCATGGAGTTATAGAGGATGCGATTGCCCTGTCAAGTGAGTGAAGTGATGTTTGATTGCCCTTGCTGTTGGCCTTTGCGCTTGGGGGGATTCTTTCCTGCAATGATTCCCATTTTTGTGCAGGCAGGGCAGCTGCAACACAATCTTGGATCGGGTGAGTTTGCATTTCATCTGTTCGGTTGACTTGACTAGCAAGTATTTAAACGTTCATACCAAATTGTACTATTGACATGTTTCCACTGAATGTTCATACGCTTACGCTGCTAATATCGGACCCTGCTGGGAATCACCAGAGATATTTTGAGATTTGCCGTCGTTCCAGCAGTTTGTGTGAAGATACGGTGTGCCAATGTGAAGTGTTGTGTGTGCATTCTCCGTAAAACTGGGTACGTCACGGGTTAAACTCCTGAAATAAGAGAGGTTGGGTAGGTTTTATGTCAACCGCGTTCGTGATTGCAGCCATCTCAGAACACTAAGAGAGGACTATTGAAGTGTCGTACTGTACTCCGGAAACCTGGAGGGATGTTCGAAAACTGTACCTAAAGCTGCTGTGGTGTGGAGTCAAGAAGCTCTGGATTGCGCGTGTGTCATGGCGTCAGCAAGCTGTATTTGTTTGCTGACGTGCTAAATTTAGCCCCCGGGAGCCAATAGAACCACGTAAGTAAATTCCAGCTCAGCCTGTCACATCACTTCCAACCCGTCTGTTTCCCTCCCTCCAACCAGGAGAAAACTTGCCCCGCTTACAGCGTGCTCTGATACGCCGGGTCGCATTCTCCACGAGGGAATCAAATTTCTTCATTCAGAAGAGCGCTGCGCTGCAATTGGGTGCAATCTGCTCCATCCTGCAACAGATGCTCAGGATGACTATGGGTGGTGCTGGCTAAGGTGCTTCACGACACTACACCCTAAATTACGAAGGCATGTGTAAAAATTACCTGGTCCGTCCAGGAAAAGAGAACATTGTGGAGGGCTGACGTTAAGTATGTTTGATTTACACGAAATACGTCAGAAACTCAAAGTCTCAAAGTTCTCCTTCTTCCGATTCCGGTCCCAGTATTTAGGGTATGCAGACAAAAACCCCCACAATCTGAACTAACCGCATCAGTGCCCATAAATGGATTGCACCGTTGACACCTCCCTCCCCACCTCCTTCAATTCGTCTCCTGCTGGTTCTGCTTCTCCTTTCCCAAAACACCACAAATGTGGGACACGAGAACATACATTCATTTTCATTCACATCGCTTCCTCATAAGATAGAGAATAGTCAGAGATCACAAACAGGCGCCGCGAGAACCTTTCCAAGGGCCACACCTACGAACGATACGAGACGCTGCACTAGGCAGTACCTTTATTGGAACGCTTTTCTGTGTAATGGAGGCCGCGCAGCTACGCGAGACAGCGGCTAGCCCACGAGGGACAGTCGCAGAGGCAGTATCTGCTTTGAGGAACAAGATTACGAAACGCGACCAGACCACAGCTGGCTCCCCCAACCGCATTCCGCGTGTAACGTTCCCGTCGAATGACGACCGAATGACGACGATCTGGGCGATCGAGAAGGCCATCGAGCGACAAATACACGACATGCACCAGTGAGCTTTTTCTCTCTCAACCCTCGCATGCCTCTTACCGAACGAGTGCATTCAGAGGAGCACTCGCGACTCGCGTCATGCACTGTGCTCGCAACGGCTCGTCGTTCCTCCCGCTTCCGCCGTGTCCTCTTCGTCCCCGCCGCTGTCTCTCCCTGTCTCTTCATTTCCCGCCGTGCCTCCTTGTGCGGCGCGACCAACCAACTCTTCCTCTCTCCAACCAGACACACTTTTACTCGTGAACGCTGTATCCTCCTAATTTTGGAGAGCTTGACACTTCTTTCTTCTTCTCGGTCCATCTCCCCCCGTCCCCACCTACCCGCGTCCCCGCGTTCCCACCATCCCCACGTCTTCACGTCTTACCTCCCCACCTCCCGACCCCCTCCTCGTCCCAACCTGCGGCGGTGTTTGCGCAGGGTACTTGCGCCGGAGCCGAGCCATTGCGCCTCGCACGCCGCGGCGAACCAATCATTGCTCTCCTCGATCAGAAAGTCGCCGCCGCATGCTGCCGATGTCGCATCATCGCATGCGACAATTCTCGATCCTCCACGTCCACTCGCGGCTGCTTATTTTTCGCCAGTGTTGGGCGGTACGCACGCCTGCGATTCGCGAGACGTTGCTGGAAACGCCGACACCGCCGGTGGTGGCGGCCGAGAAAATGCGGCAGATGGAAACGACTGTCCTGGCAGCAGCGGCGACGGCGAGATCACGGATCGGAGTGGCGGCGGCGGCAGCGGCGGCAGAGTCGGCGGCAGCGGTGGATACCAGGGCGCGGCGCGCATTGGAGGAAGCAACGGCGTTCAGCTGCGCGCCTTTGAAGAGAGCACCGCCGCGACGTGCGGCGGGGAAGTCGCCGGCCGTCGTCGCGCTGACTGCGACGAGCGCCGCTACCACGAGCAGAACGGCTTCTGGCAGCCGTCCGTCTCCGCGAAGCGAAAGCGGCCATTCTGCTACGACGACGGCGGCGATGGCGACTCGCTGGAAGGAAGGACTTATGAGTCGACGAGGCGCCTTACTTGTACGCCTCAAACGTCATTCTACTATGAGTCGTTGGCAGGACTGTCGGACCCAAGCTGCGCCGATCATTGCGCATCAATATGCCTCGCAGGCGATTGGTCGACGAGCAGACGGCCGCCGGTGGACTTGACGGAGTCCGGCAATGTTACGGCGGCAGAACAACTTGTTGCAGGTGGCGGTCGGCAGGATGAACAGCCTTTCGGTAATCCGCAAAACCGGTATCATCCGCACAGCCATTCTCAGCAAGCCCCCATTGCCGGCCTCTTCGAGCATCCACGGGGGCATCCGGCGGCAGAGGGGACACGTGCGACTGCGAGCGGCGCGGCTGAATGCGCAAGCGTTAACGAGACGGCGAGAGAACCCGCCGCCTCAGGGGATACTGGCGGAACGGGCGGATGGGGGGACTGCAGCGCAGAGGGAAACCCTATCGCGGCTGGCGCAGCGCTAGCGCGCGCACCGACTGGCGGAGTCCGCCTGGGCGGAGTGACTGCGCCGGCCCATCAAGCCGTCCACGCACAGGCGCAGGAGCGTGCCGCTCAGACAGCCCCAGAGCAGGAACGAGCGCCGGAACCGCCAGCCGGAGGGACGAGCGGAAAGGCACGCATAGCAGCCGATGCAGCAGGTGGTGCATGCGCAGGCGCAGACATGGCAACAGGCGCAGCGGCGGCAGGTGCGGGTGGTTCGTTAGGTCCGCCCCCCATCCTTCCGCCTTCCATGGTGGCCCTCCCTGCAACTGCCCTGCTGCCACTGCCCTGGCAGCACCTGCTGCCCCACCGCCCCTCCACCCACGTCCTGCTACCGCTGCCCTCTCCTCCCCATCTCCCCGCTTTGCCCCAGCCCTTGCCGCAGTTGCTTACATCACAGCCCCAGATACTATCACAGCCTCAGTTGCTATCACAACCCCGCCTGCTTATATCACAGCCCCAACTATCATCACAGCCTCAGCTGCTTATTGCACAGCCCCAGTCCTCATCACAGCCCCCACTCCAGTCTCCTCAGCCCTTCCAGTCGTCCCCCCTCGTCCAAGCACCGTGGCCTGCCATTGCACCCACACCAACACACAGGGTCGGTTTCTCGACCGTTGCCCCCCACCCTCTGCCTGCCAACTCTTCTGCACTCGCCGTCACTGGTGCTGCCGCAGGTGGCGGGCGGCATGGGGTGGGCGGCGGTAAGGGGGAGGGCATGGTGGGCGATGAGGGTTGTGATCAAGGGCAAGGGCATGATGGCGATGATGATGCGACGAATCAGCGCAAGCAGAGGAGGTCAGTGCATCACACGGGTTGGTCCGCCCACTGTGCTGCCCTCCGCCCCCCACCCTCCCACCATCCCGCTGCCCACACTTGCCTCTCTGTATTATTTCCCCCTAAACTCCATCACGTTATCTTCTGAAAAAGAGTATCTGTCTGTCGCACCCCTTGACTCTTTCCCCTTACTTCTTACCCCCTTGTCCCTCCCCTGTCGTTCCCTTGTCTCTACCCGTCTTCTTACCCCCTGGTCTCCTCTCCTTTTCGTCCCACCCCTTGCCTCGTCCCCCGTGGGCAGAATGCACTCCAACCGGCAGTCAGCCAAGCGCAGTCGCCTTCGCCGCCAGCAGCTGCTGGAGAAGCTGGAGATGGATGTGAGCGAATGGGTGGCGAGCGGTAGGATGCAGTGGGATGTAGTGTGGGGTGGGGTGGGATGGGATGGGATGGGATTTGATGGGATGGGATGGGAACGGACGGGATGGGATGCGGGCTGAATGGGTTGTGGGAACGAGAGGTGATTCATTATTTGCTAACGGTGTGCTTGTGCTTCGTAAAAAGTATGCAACCAAGTGCCACATCAGGATGACATGCTGAAAGAACCGTGCATGCATTCCTCTGCATGGCTCGGGATGGGACAGTGCAGGACACTGTCATGAGGCACGGTGTCGGTCAGCGCATATAATCGCCTTTTCTGTTGCCGTCGAAATCCCCCCCCAAACCCCCACCCCCCCCCCCCTTGTCGTGACACAGGCTGCAAAGCTGAGGGTGGAACACAGTACGTTGTGTCGGAGAGAGGCGGAAGCAACAGAGAGAGCTGCTGAGCTGCAACAGCAGCAAGTGAGGTTGCAGCAGGAGAGGGACGCAGTATTAGCGAGAGTGAAAGAGCGTGGTTCTGGCAGGCACTTGCAAGAGCAAGGGCTACGGGTCCATTGAGGAAGAGGAGTATAGAGGATATAAACAGTGGATAAGATGGTCTATGTTGTCAGTGTTCTTTTGCAGTATGTCACTGACTGTCGTGGAGGATAATACGGTATGCTTCGGTAATTATATATACAGGTAGTACAATCAGAACTAGGCACGCAACTGACACGACCATATTGAGTTCGTCACCACTCTCCACAAGGATGGTGTTCTCAAGTCGTGCCCACCTATAGGCTAGTAGGCTATGGTCCTAAGTCTGTCATTTTCTTTATTCTGAAATGGGAGGATATGCGTTACAAAACCTTGATAAAATGTATTCACAGCACTGGTTGCATTTTGCACTTATTTCAGAAAGCGGCAGTTTCAGTATCGAGTTTAGGGTGAAATCTGGCGATGCCGTGTCAGTTTCGGTTGTCATGGGTTTCGGAATATGTTTTCCAGGTTTCGCTCTGTCCTACAAGGTTGCGTGTCAGGGTTTCCCTCCTAGGCTGCGTATCGAAGCCTAGGCTGTAGCGAGTTAGTTCCTAGATCAAGTCCAAACCTTGTCTCATGTGATCGAGCGGCATTTCGGCTGGAAACGTGCATCTCGCCTTCGTCGCGTTCGCATATCGACGCTTCCGCAAAGCCGTTGTGTAGCGCGCGCTCGTGATCGGGGGTCCGGTGGGCATAAATGGCAGAGATGGTGAGCTCCCGCTTCGTTTCGCCCACCCTCTAGTGCCGCAAATGTGCAATGGTCCGTTGTGTCTGCCATTGCTCTTTCTCTCTCCTTCTATTGTCGCTGGGTGGATGCCGGCCCGTCAGTGCCGAGATGCTGGTCGTTTAATGTCGGTCGTACATTGCCGGTCGTTCGTTCTCGGTCATTCGTTCCCAGCTGTTCGTCGCTGGCCGTTCGTTCCTGGCTGTTCGTCGCCGATCGTTCGTTGTCTGTCGTTCAACTTCGCTCGCGCTTTCTTGCTCATGTCAGCCGATCCACGCGCTTTCGACGGTCCTCTCTCTTCAAACTATTGGTTGTACCTAACTACTTCCTGCCATCGGCATGCCGTGTTTCAGGAAGACATATGGAAGGAAGCATTTCCGGTCGGCACGGAGGTACTACCCATGCCATCCGTTTCCTGCTTCACCTCACCTTCGTTTACTTGCTTCTCATCCTTCGTTTTTTATTGGCACACCTTATTGCTGCATTTTGAAGCTTGAATGTCAACACTCACTTTCCCAACCCAGTCTGCAAGCTTCAACGCTGCACACCTGTTAAGCACGTCTGTGATTCGTCCTTTGTCTTCCTAATAGCACGTCTTTGACCGTCCTTTATCCCGTTTTCACCAACTCAGAATCTTAGAAGCTTATGCGGAAAGGGGTTCTCTAGGCTAAGGGCCCTGATAGAACTCCCATTAATAAGGCTACCTACTTCTCTCTGCTCGTCTTGCCTTGACCAATGATTATCCTGGAGTTCTTCCTTATGGAATTAATTTCACACGCATGATGCAATGGGAAGCATATACGCTTCGACCAACCGCCGTCTTCCAACACATTTTGTCCCCCCTCTCCTCTTCCTGTCCCCCATGCCTCCCCTATCCCCGCCCACCTCTTTTCTTCGCACTCTCTCTGCCAGTGGGACCAATACGACAAAGTGTACGAGATTGAGTGGGACTTCTCAAACCTTGATGTAAGCGCACACATTGCAGCTCTTTCTATCAGCTTTCTCTCTATCAGCTGTCTCTATATAAGTACAATCTCTCGCTCGCCTCACCCTGTGCCGATTCCTGGCCACAATCCTCAGTGGGAAGGCCGACACTCACATTCTTGAGAAGCGAGCCTTCCCACTCACGCTCACATCAGCCGTCGCATCCGTGTATCCTTTTCGTGTCACTTTATTGCGTAATACTCGTTGAGCCCTCGGGTGCAGCCCTGAAAACAAGGTAGCCATGGTTCTCCCTGTTTCCCCCCTCTCTCCGTCGTCTTCCTCCCCTTGTCTCCCGCCCTCCCGTACCACGCTTCTCCACAACCCAGGGGTTCGCCCCAACAAGCGAGCACACACACGCACTCACATCCTGCTTCCCCCTTTCCCTGTGTCTCCCGCCTTGCCCACGTGTCTCATCTCGGGTGTGTGCAGGAGGCGTTTGATGAGGGCGGCCCGCTGCACGACAAGCGCGTCTACCTCTTTGGATGCACAGAGCGTGAGTTCAAAGTCTACCTCTTTGGATGCACAGAGCGTGAGTTCAAAGTCTACCTCTTTGGATGCACAGAGCGTGAGTTCAAAGTCTACCTCTTTGGATGCACAGAGCGTGAGTTCAAAGTCTACCTCTTTGGATGCACAGAGCGTGAGTTCAAAGTCTACCTCTTTGGATGCACAGAGCGTGAGTTCAAAGTCTACCTCTTTGGATGCACAGAGCGTGAGTTCAAAGTCTACCTCTTTGGATGCACAGAGCGTGAGTTCAAAGTCTACCTCTTTGGATGCACAGAGCGTGAGTTCAAAGTCTACCTCTTTGGATGCACAGAGCGTGAGTTCAATGTTGAAACGCTCCAAAGCCCAATGGAAGCTGAAACGCTCATAGCAATATGGCCGAACTTGGTCCTGGACCTGGTAATGTCTCAAGATAAGATTGCATTAATGGCAGAAATTAGAACACCATTTTTGGACTCTGTGGTGCTCTCAATCTCCCTTTCTCCCACGTACACCTCCCATTCGTTTCGTGCTCCTATTTTTGTTTTCACAAAACAGATCTCTAGTCGCGACTTATCAGTCAGCTACACAGCTCTCCATAAACCCTCCGCCCCTGCATGATCCCATCCCATTCACCATCCGGCGACCCTGTCCTGTCCCGCATTGCAGCGCAGCTGGTGCACTGGAAGGGCAAGGACAAGGTGGTGCACGTGCCAGCTGTCGTGGCGGTATGTGCATGCATGCATCATGGTCGTATGAGCGTATGAAAGTGCCATAGGGGTGTATGGTATGCAATCAAGGTGCACTGGAAGGGCAAGGACAAGGTCGTGCACGTGCCAGCTGTCGTCGCGGTACGTGCATGGCTTGAGCTTGACGGCCAAAATATAAATAAGCCCTAGAGACGGGTACAGGGTTTCGGGTTTTGTGTTACGCTTGGGTTTTGGGTTCAGGGTTCGTGTGCTCCGCATGTTTTCGGACTTTGTTACATGGTCTGAGGTGAAGGTTTGGTTTCGAGGTTGTGGGTTGGGATTTCTGGTCGTGTATTTAACTGCCCGCAACATTTCAAGTATATGCATTGTCAAGGCCCCGCCCCCAGCCCTCCCAACCTCAATTCTACCATGTCTCTCCCTCTTCCGTTCCTCCCTCACCTCCCCACCCCGTTGCATCGCATTAACCTAGCATGTAAGTGAATGAAGACAGAGGAAGGGTTTTCACCGACCGCTTCGTAATCATACCCCACCTCCTTCTACCACTGTCCATCTGTCCCAACCACTCCCAACCAGGTGCTGTCACCATTCGCCCCGTCCCACAAGCTGGGCATAAAGTCAGTGCAGATGGAGACCGATATGATCGTGCCTAGTGCTTATCAACAGCATCCCACCTCTTTTCACCACTCTCCACTGGCCATCACCACTCCCACCAGATGTTGTCACCGTTGTCGGACAAGCTGGGCATCAAGTGAGTGCAGATGGAGACAGAGACGATCGTGCCTACCGATTATCAACTGCATCCCATTCCATCCCACCTCTTTTCACTGCTCTCCACTGATTCGCACTGCTCTCCACCAGGTGTTGTCACCATTCGCCCCGTCAGACAAGCTGGGCATCAAGTCGGTGCAGATGGAGACAGAGATGATCGTGCCGATGCGCGAGATGAAGATGGACTGGATCCCCTTCATACCCGATACCACTGGGTGCGTGTGATTACAGGGGGGGGGGGGGGGGGGGGGGGGGGGGGGGGGGGCGCGGGCATGGGCGAGTGTGGCAAAGCTTGAAGGGAGGAAAGGTAGGGTGCCAGCAGCCACCACCAGCCTCTCTCTTTCATGTGTTTCTTCTGATCTTAAACCAATCATTGTGCCATCCCAAGTGCCATCCCAAGTGTCGTCCCATGTGCCATCCCAAGTGTCGTCCCATGTGCCATCCCATGTATCATCCCATGTGTCATCCCATGTGTCATCCCATGTGCCATCCCATGTGTCATCCAATGTGCCATCCCATGTGTCATCCCTCCCGTGTGCCATCCCATGTGCCATCCCATGTGCCATCCCATGTGCCATCCCATTGTGCCATGCCATGTGCCATCCTATGTTCCATCCCATGTGCCATCCCATGTGCCATCCCATGTGCCATCCCATGTGCCATCCCATGTGCCATCCCGTGTGCCATCCCGTGTGCCATCCCATGTGCCATCCCATGTGTCATCCCTCCCATGTGCCATCCCATGTGCCATCCCATGTGTCATCCCGTGTGCCATCCCGTGTGCCATCCCATGTGCCATCCCATGTGTCATCCCTCCCATGTGCCATCCCATGTGTGACCTTGTGCAGCCGAGGGTCGGACCTAAGGCGGCACCGGTCGAACATCTTCACTCTCAAGTGCATACAACGCAGGTGACCTCCCCCCTTCTTACGTGCTTGGGAGATTTATGAGTCATGATGTTTATGAGTGATGAAATGTATGAGTGATGAGTGTTGAGAATGTTTTTTCAGCAGCTTAGATTTAGCTCAACTTGCCATGTGTGTGTTTATGCTGTGTGCTGCATGCTGTGTGCTGCATGCTGTGTGCTGCATGTTGTGGGCTGCAGGGCGGGCTTGAGGCAGATGAAGCATGAGCGGGTGAAGAAGTTCGAGTACTGCTTACCATGTACGTGAAGAAGTTCGAGTACTGCTTACCATGTACGTGAAGAAGTTCGAGTACTGCTTACCATGTACGTGAAGAAGTTCGAGTACTGCTTACCATGTACGTGAAGAAGTTCGAGTACTGCTTACCATGTACGTGAAGAAGTTCGAGTACTGCTTACCATGTACGTGAAGAAGTTCGAGTACTGCTTACCATGTACGTGCGTGCGTGCACCATGCTTGCGTGGCACCATGCTTGCCTGGTTACTGCACGTTTGTTATCCGCCTTGTGCATGTATGCCCGTGATGGCAACCTGGCGGTTACCACATGGTTGCAATCTGGAGGGGCATGCATGCATGCTTGATCTCGAATTACCGCGTGCTGCTCACTGCAAGTACACACGGTCTCTCTCTGCTTCTTCTGTACTGCCCTTAGTCCCCCACCAGCCATCTTCCTGCCGCACATGCGGGAGGAGCACATGTGGGAGGAGCACATGTGGGAGGAGCACAAAGCGGACATGCTCCTGTCTCTCATATAACCCCATCACTCTTTCTTCTCTCGCCTCCCTCCCCGCCTCCCGCCCACAACTTCCTCCCCACACATGCAGGAGGGGCCAGCAGGATGTGGGTGGGCATGGTCGCCCCAGTCATTCTTTTATCTCCCCTCCCCCTCCTCCCCTCCCCCTCCTCCCCTCTCCATCCTTTCCTCCTCCCGTCCCTCGTTCCCCCCCCTTCACCCCATCAGACACCTTCCTACTGCTCATGCAGGAGCAGCAGGAGGGGGACTCAGTCGTCCCTCTCTGACTTCTCCCCCAAACCCACCCCTCCCTCCACCTCCTGCTCTCCACCCCCCCTCCCCCCCCCTTCACTCATGCTCGCCCCCACGCCATCAGACATCTTCCTACCGCACATGCAGGAGGAGCAGGAGGTAGACACGGTGGTGTCCATCATGTACCCCTTCGAAGGGGACAACCCACCTCCCCCGGTAACCACCTCCCCCTGGTAACCACCTCCCCCTGGTAACCACCTCCCCCGGTAACCACCTCCTCCTGGTAACCACCTCCCCCGGTAACCACCTCCCCCGGTAACCACCTCCCCCGGTAACCACCTCCCCCGGCAACCACCTCCCCTGGTAACCACCTCCCCCGGTAACCACCTCCCCTGGTAACCACCTCCCCTGGTAACCACCTCCCCCGGTAACCACCTCCCCTGGTAACCACCTCCCCTGGTAACCACCTCCCCCGGTAACCACCTCCCCTGGTAACCACCTCCCCTGGTAACCACCTCCCCCGGTAACCACCTCCCTCCTCTGTCGTTTGCCCTTGGGAGTGAGCCAATTCTGCTCCTCTCCGGAGATGACTCAAAGGACGTTGTGTGGCCATTTGAGCTCTGCACTGAGTACTCGCTTTCTCTGTGGGTTTTCTTCCTCCTCTCTCGCATGAATCTAGTCCCTGCTTCCCTTCTCCCCCCCCCTCCTTGCATTGCCCTGTCTCACACACTCTCGCCCACGCCCTGGCAGCTGCTGGCGGAGTATGACTGGGAGATGGACGAGTATGAGGTGAGAGGGTTGGTTTGCTTGTGGGCTAGGATGTGTGTGCGTGTGTGCGGGTGTGGGGGTGGGTGGGTGTTGGGGGGGGAAGGGGGTGGTGGTGTTGGGGGGTTGAGGGGGAGGGAAGGGGGGGGGGGAGGAGGGGGTTGTGGGTGTGCGGGTGTGTGAGATGGGGATGGTATGTGAGACTGACTGACCTCAGTGCTGAGGGTGGCATTTATGTCGGGTGGTTGTAGAGGACCAGCACCTGCCTTCTCGTACAGTCACCAACCTCCTTCCTCCTCCCTCCTCCCTCCTCCCTCCTCCCTCCTCCCTCCTCCCTCCTCCCTCCTCCCTCCTCCCTCCTCCCTCCTCCCTCCTCCCTCCTCCCTCCTCCCTCCTCCCTCCCTCCCTCCTCCCTCCTCCCTCCTCCCCCCTCCTCCCTCCTCCCTCCTCCCTCCCTCCTCCCTCCTCCCTCCCTCGTCCCTCCTCCCTCCTCCCTCTTCCGCTCCTCCCTCCACCCTTTTCCCTCGTCCCCTCCCCCTCCTCCCTCCACCCCCCTCCTTCCACACCCCTCCATGCTTGCCTGCCTGCCGTGCACAGGAGTTCACAGACAACCTGGTCAAGGACGAGTCGCTACCAGAGGCAGAGAAAGCCAAGTTCATTGTCAGTGTGCCCACCACTGTGCATACCATGCGGTACCGTACCGTACCGTACCATACCATACCATACCATACCATACCATACCATACCATACCATACCATACCGTACCGTACCGTACCGTACCATACCATACCATACCGTACCGTACCGTACCGTACCGTACCATACCATACCATACCATACCATACCACACCATACCATCTCATGCCATGCATATGTCCACATGAACATGCGCCTGTCTGCCAGCTGCAAAGGAATCACTGCACGTCTGTCCGCCGCTTATCTTGATTTATTGCACCACAAGTATGTGAAGAAGAAGCTGAAAGAGTCCAGGCCTACACAAACCATTTTCTTTCTCCCATGTCGTTTTCAACTGTTGGTCCTCTCTGCCTTGCCGTTCTCTGTCAACGGTGGGTGCATCGCATCGCTGCAGGAGTATGTGAAGAAAGAGGTGAAAGAGGCCAAGCTTAAGGCAAAGAAGGTGAGAAATACATGATGTGTTGGGGTAAGTGTAAAAGGACATGATAACTGAATTGACTGGGAATAGATGAACGTAGATGATGGGATGTATGGTTACCTTACGCCAAGCACGTATTGTTTTTGGGTGTTCTGAAGAGGCTGTCAAAGCAGGCCATAACTGCGATGCTGTGTTTCAGCCGAATGGTATGGCTTGGCCTCCAAGTTTTCTGCGGCTGGATCTTCTATGTCTTCTTGAATTCTTGTATTTTTAAAATCTTGTCTTTTTGAATTCTTGTCTTTTTTTTTTTTTTTTTTTTTTGTCGGGACGATGGCGTTCCTGGTCGTTCGATTGACTTCCTCGTCCCTTCCCTGTGGTGCAACCCGCATTCAGCTCACTCGACTTCATTTCTCCGTCAACTCGGTCTACTTTATTTCTCATTCACTTGATTCAACTCATGTTGCGTCAGGAGCGGGAGGAGCGCAAGAAGGCGATAGAGGACATGGGGGAGGAGCGCCTGGAAGCGCTCAAGAACCTCCGGTTCCTCAAGTTCTACCCCAAGCAGAGCGACGACACACCTGATATTTCCGAGTTCAAGGTACCGCATATGACTGTCCATGTGGCGTGTCTGCAATACGTGGTCTTTGTCTGCTGCTGATGGTGTTGAGTGCACCACGTTTCTACTAAAAGCTCACGCCGTTGGTGATGTTCAATAAGCTCTTTGAATCTGCTTGTGTCGGAATGTGGACTGTGGTTTTAACTCCTGCCCCAAAAGTATCACCATCTGCTTAGCATGCTTGAATTTTCTCAATATCTGCTTCCGTACCATCCTTTTTATTTCTCCCCCACTTCTTTCTCCTCTGTGGTCGCGTAATGGGTGCTTCGTTGCTCGCACATTTTCCATCCATGCGCAGGCCCACTACATCAACCGATATTACGGCAAGGCTCATGAAGTTCTATGATTATCAGTACACTTGGATGAGAATATCAACAGATTCAATTTGTCACAGCTGCTTGGCAATCCTAATATTCTGTTACGGTATCCATAACAACTAGAAATAAATCAGTTTACAATAATTATCTAAAACAAGTGTACCACTATGACTAACGGTTCTTTCATCACGGCCTACAATTAGGGCGACGTCAGGTTGTACAACTTTTTGTACGCCCTCTCCGGTAAATTTCGTTTCAACAAGGTGAAGAGCGGTAATTGTCGAGAACCGCTTTTCACCGTGTTGGACCGTCCTGAACCACGATACAGGAACTGTAAGCACGTGTGAAATGCATAACCTGACGTCGCCCTTATATTTGCCTCGATGTTGCGCAACGCTTGACTCCGTACCCTACCTATGACACTCGCCCGGGCCGGCAATTATTGTAGTGGGGTGGTGAAAACTCTCATTCCCGATTCTAGACACGGGAGGAAAATGGCGAATCGCGACTCTCCGCCGTCAGCTCACGTAATCTCCAGTGTTTCGCAATTATACAAGAGATTTCGCCTCGCTGCAGCTTCGAGCGAGTCGCACGCGTCACTCCTGCTTACCGCCTGTACCGGCAAGCCATGACGACGGGTCTTTCCCAATCTATAGTTACGGGCTCTCAGCGTGACTATAAAGTGGGTTCGAGTCCCTAGAAAATAATTCAGCGACAATCCGCCTTTCACTCTTCAAGCAATCCACCCGTTTCCTCCTACAATTCGAGTTTGTTAACTCTCTTTCAGATTATGGCCTTCACTTCAGCTCGCCGCGTCTTATTCTTAGGTGAGCGTTATTAGTACCCTGTACTGCCAATGCGCGCCGAGCTCAAAACGTGCTGGCTGCTTGCTGACCCGTGCAACGTGCACTGGCACTTCGATTCGAACTCTCAGTGATTCGGTTTGTTATTATGACACATAATCACTCTGATTGACGCATTTCCGCTGCATGTTAAGCTGATCCGTGCTTCCCTCGCGTGTGTTTCCGTGCTTGCAGCATTCGTCGCGGTGCTGGTGGCTTTTGCCTACGCAGACCACGACGACCCGGAATTAACCAGTCAGTGCTTCGCGCTTCCCCATTCCGACTGTCGTTCTTCGCTCTCGTTCTCACTTTTCCCGCAACCTTCATCCTCTTTTCCGAACCCGCACAATCCAATGCTCAACTCACCCTTGTGTTCGTTCTCACCCCAACAGACACCTTCACGGCGAAGCTGATTGGCGCCAACGAGGTTCCCAAGAATGACTCCGAAGCTGCCAGGAACGCCGTTGGTGACAAGAGCGGCGTGGTGCAAATGAAGCTCGACTTCTACAAGTAAGTTCGCCACGCCACGCATTGCAACTGTGACACGTGAGCCCATTTCTCCAAGAGCTCGTTTCATGCGTACATTTCTCCAAGAGCACAGTTTCTTTCCAATTTCAAAGTCGAGAACACATGGGCTCCAATCCCTGCCGCTCTCTGCCGCTCTCTCCTGCGATGTACAACAGCAGATTCTAACTCCCTCTTCTCACCCCCTTGACACCTGTGGTGCCACGTGTGATCAGGAAGGAGGGCGAGCTCATGTGGGTGGATTACTGGGTGAAGGCGTCGAAGCTGGAGGGTGAGATGCCGCCCACCAAGACGCACATCCACCCGGGGAGGAAGGGCGAGAACAACCCCGTGCTGCTGGACCTGCCGTGCAAGTACAAGCAGACCAGCGCCTCCGAGTGGCTGTGTGAGGGCGCCATGTGGGAGGACAAGTGGCTCTCTAAATCGGAGAAGGCGATTTTCACCAAGATCGGAAAGCACCCCAACACGTTCTACGGGAATATCCACACCAAGAAGTACCCCGATGGCGCCGTGCGTGGCCAGTTCTCCAGGAAGTAAAGGGCCAGTTGGTCGGATCAACTTGATCCCCACCCTTGGTCAGAGCTGGAGATTAGAGAATGACAACGTACAAGTGAAAAGAGCTGTGAATAAAGATTCTGGGGGTGCACTATTGGACGGAGTGAAGGTGCTCCCTTCCCTTAGGCAGTGCTTTTGGTGACCCCAATTATCAGAATAAGCTAAGCCCTTGTCCATTGCTTGCTTGGTTCTACGCTACATTGCTCTTGCTATGTTATGGAAATCTGAATCCCTTATGTCCATCCTTAGTATTACTTTCTACTTCGTCTATTAATTTGGTAATCAAGCAAGAAAATCTATATACGATATACGAAACTTCACATCACATCCATTCAATTGTGATGCTGGTCATAAAACTGAATGCTGGAAGTAGTACGGTATAATATATATACAGTCCGTAGAAAGTATATGAAGGCAAAGATTCAATGTACGTAGCAGTATGACACCACCCCCGAGTCGCCAGCACAGGGAATGTGACACATTCAAAATGTCCTTCAACTGAATTCAAAGCTTCTGGAGTCGCGTTTTCCCTGGACAACCAATCGTGCGGCCTTCGCGTAAAGCTTGCGTCGTCGTGAATCATCAAGCTTCGCCGCATGGTCAGCGGGAAGCCTTTTCGTGAAGGTGGTCGCGTGCAGAGTGGATAAGCTGATAGGAAAGGTGAGCCGCGTCTCACGACGAAGGGCGACTCATTGACGACATTCATTGGACCAACCCAACCTAAGAGAAGCACCGAGCACGGCCAAATGGCATATGCCCTCAGTCGCATGGACCCCGTAGCCGACTTTCGTCGTCGTCCTGCGACGATTGCAGTCACGGATGTGGATTTCGAGGGCGCGCATCGGAGCATTCGAGGTTGCGGATAGCGTTGCGGAAAATCGAGCGTCAAGCCGGCCCCACGCGAGCTACCCTTGGTCTTAGGTTTCAACATTATCGCAGCTTTTCACTTACCAACACATATCAAACCTGTCATCCTGTCACGGTGTGCTAAGCTTAGCAGCGTGATGTTCGAAGAACACATCGGTAATAACCTCGAATCGAGCGACAGATTCTCCGTCGTTGCTCGTCATTGCTGAGACTGTCACTCAACCTTATGCCGCGGGTCGCCATGCATATACTTAATTTGGCCATTGTGACTGATACCAAGTGCTGATGGCGCCAAACCACTCTCGACTCCGCATCTCTTCATGGCTTTACCAGCTCACGTACTGCCGCTTCTCGCATGCGCGTTGCTCGCCACTTCAGCAGCAGCCGTAGAATTCAGTTCCTCTCTATTCTCTGAATCAGCCAGACCAAATAAAGCGGATAACGGAGCGCCGAATTCTAAAAATCAGGATCACCGAAACCGGTTGTACATACCTGAACATCTTTCCGGGCCTCCCGGAAGCAAGCATCTCCAGCCCTTAGCTTTTCCTTTGACGCACAAATTCAAATCCGGAGCACATCATGGAAAGGCGCGCGGCGGGCTCGTTACCGTGCGGTGGGAGGCGCACATGGCGGCCGTGCAGCGCGACTTGCGGCGCGTTCGACGCGGGAACAGGCGGCTGCAGAGCGGAGACGATGACGAGGAAGTCGTGTTTGGACTCGTCGGCAACGCGGACCCGCAGATAGCAGGGTGAGCGCAAAAGTCGACTAAGAAATGTACCCGCAGGTAGCAACATGAACCTGCGACCGCAAGGTCGACTAAGAAGGTCGTTGTAGACTCGGCCTCTTTTTAGGGCCCTTACAAGACTGTTTGTTTCATCCCCTTCCCCCTCCGTCCCCATCATGTTACTTCGGGGTCGGTGTCTCTGAGCTCGCATCCGCAGCTGTTCAACACGCGAGCTTGACCAGCTCGGATGCGAATCAAACGCGACTAAAAGGCCACCCATCTCCCGTCCCCTTTCCCTCCTCCTCTACGCCCCCGCCCCTTCCCTCTCTTCCAGGCTGTACTTCGCGTCGGTGGCGCTGGGCTCGCCGCCGCAGTTGTTCAACGTGCAGGTGGACACGGGCAGCGACCTGCTCTGGGTTGCGTGCCAGCCGTGCCTCAAATGCGCCACGCGCTCGCAAGTCGCGGTGAGAGTCGCACACGGGCTCGTTATAGTGGTTGCGTCTAAAGAGCGCTCGGTGGTTGCGTTTGAAAAAATAGAAAAAAACAAAAAAAATCCGATTTAGCACCACTGTCAATCCGTTCCCTGTCTCCGTCTCATAACTCGACGCCTCGCTATTCCCCCTCATCCCATTTCGAGCCGAATCACGACAGTGTGCGCCTTGATCGTGCTTCTTGAAAGTAAATGCTGAACAGCACGCCATTGAGAAGCCACTACACGCCAATACCCGATAATCAAATTACTCGTAAAAACTTATAATGCACGCGCTTTTCCTCGCAATTCCCCTCTCCCCTTATTTTCCCTCTCGTTCCCCCTCAACCCTACCGACCCCTCCCTTCCTCTCCTCCCTCCTCCCTCTCTACTTCCACATCTCCGCCTCGCTCCCATTCGCCAGACGTTGAACCCACCGTTCAACGCGTCGCAATCTTCCTCCAATCACCTCCTCCCGTGCGCGACGCGAGAGTGTCCGCGCTACCACCTCTCCGACAACGTCCTGCGCGGCTGCCCGTCGCCGGCCGTCGCGACGGCGGCCGCCGTGCCGGCCGCCACGTGTCTGTACATGCTGCGCTACGCGGACGGCAGCGCGTCCGTGGGCGTGCTCATGCGCGACGTGCTGCACCTGCCGTGGACCCCCAGCGAGCGACCCGTGGGACCCGGGGGGGGTGGGACTGGAGAAAGTGGGCCCGAGGGGAATGGGAGAAGCGGGGACCTGCCGTCGACCGCCAGTGAGCCCTTGGGAGGGGGAGCAGGTGGAGTGGCTGGGGTGGCGAGGACGAGTGGTAACCCGGTGCCTGGCGAGAGTAGCGAGAGTGGTAACCCCGGCGAGCTCAACATCGTGGAGCCGCGGAGGATTGGCCAGGAAGTGGCGGCTCAACGCGCAGCCTCGGCGAGCGAAAGCGGCGGGGCTGCAAATAACGGGGATGAAACGCAGGGAAGCAGCGGGGTTGCTAATAGCGGGGATGAAACTCAGGGAAGCAGCGCGAACGCGTCAGCGAGCGGCACCAAGTACCGGCCGGTCGTGACGTTCGGTTGCGGGTTCAACCAGTCCGGCAATCTTTTAGACGGCCCGCTGACGGTCGACGGCGTGATGGGCCTGGGCCGCGGCGCGTCGTCCCTGCTTGCGCAGCTCGGCGCGCAGCACGCGCTGCCGCACGCGTTCGCGCACTGCCTGGGCGGGCCGGAGGGCGGCGGCGCGCTGTTCCTCGGGCGCGTGTCGTCCGCGGGCGCGCTGAGCGGCGTGCGGGGCGTGTGGCAGCAGACGGCGCTGTGGGACAAACCCGACAGGTATGCCCCTCGCTCTGAGGGCCGGGCGGGGCGTGCGGGGGGTGGGGGCGTGGAGGGGGGGTGGGGGGCGTGGGGGCCGTGGGGGGCGTGGAGGGGGGGTGGGGGGTGTGCGGGGCGTGTGGCAGCAGACGGCGCTGTGGGACAAACCCGACAGGTCGGCACCTGACCTCGGTCGCTTCAACTCTCCCTCGCTTCCAATCACACTCTCACTCTCTCGCACTCCCACACTCACTCTCTCTCACTCCCACTCCCACTCTCACTCTCTCCCTCTCTCTGCCTGCTACTCCTTTCCTCCCCTCTCTGTCTCGCCACAGCATCACATCCACCATGCCGCCCTACTCATCCCTGCCACTCATGCATCCACCATTCCCTGTAAAATCGCTCATCTCCCCCATGCCCGCATGACCTCCCCCCTCCCCGCACCCACCCTCTCTCCCCTCTCCCTTCCATCTCCCCCCGTGCCCGCATCACCCTCTCTCCCCTCTCTATCCCTGCAAACCGTACATGACCCCTCCATGGCCCCTCCCTTTCCCCTCCCCCCCCTACGCACGGCAGCACGCAGGGCATGATCGGCCTGGCGGGCATCGCCGTTGCTGGTGTGCCCATCGCCCTCGCAACCCGCCATCCTTTGAGGCACCTCGATAACTGTCCCGCCCTTGTTTCTCCGTTACTCCGTCCTTCCACCCTGCAAAACAACGTTTCTGCCCCCGGCCTCCCCTCTCCTTCTCTGCCCCCCAACGCGCAATACAGCACGCAGTATTTGATCGGCCTGGCAGGCATCGCCATCGCCATCGCCATTGCTGGTGTCCCCCTTGCGTCGCATCCTGTCCCACTCTATCCCTCGGAACCGAACTTTGTGTGTGCCCGCATCACCCTCTCTCCCCCCATCGCGCAATGCAGCACGCAGTATATGATCGGCCTGGCAGGCATCGCCATCGCCGGTGTGCCCATTGCGTGGCAACCCGCCGTCGCCGCTGCCGTCCCTTCTGCTGCCGCTGCTGCCAGGGATGCTGAAGCCGCTGCTGCTGCTGCTGCTGCTCAAACCACCTCCTCGCTTGCTGCGCCAGCGGGCAACGTCACAGGTTCGGCATCGACAGGCTCGGCATCGACAGGTTCGGCATCGACAGGCTCGGCATCGACAGGCTCGGCATCGACAGGCTCGGCATCGACAGGCTCGGCATCGACTGGCTCGGCATCGACTGGCTCGGCATCGACAGGCTCGGCAGCGGCAGGGATGGTGCCGTGCGTGTTGGACAGCGGCACGTCGCTCACATACCTCCCGGACTCGCTCTACCAAACTCTTACTGCCGCCGTGAGTGCCGCTCTCCCCTGACCTGACTCTTACTCTTGGGTCGCCTCAAAAGTCGCTCACATACCTGCCCGACCCGCTCTACCAGACGCTCACTGCTGCTGTGAGCGCCGCACCTTTAAACCTGCTATTTCACTTGACTCAACAGCATTCCTCCTCCCATACCGCATCCCCTCCCATGCCGCATCCCCTCCCATGCTGCATCCCCTCCCATACCGCACCCCCTCCCATGCCGCACCCCCTCCCATGCCGCACCCCCTCCCATGCCGCACCCCCTCCCATGCCGCACCCCCTCCTATGTCGCAACCCCTCTCCCATACTGCACCCTCCCTCCTTTGTGCCCAATGCGTGCTGTCTCACATGCCTGTTTTCCCCCCTGCCTTGCCCGCTCACTCATCGTCTTTTACACCACTTCCTTCCCCCACTTCCTTGGCCCTGTCCCTATTCCCTACCCCCTTTCCCTTGTCCCCTGACCCATGCTCCCTTAACACACCCCTTTTTCCCCTGCACCGTACCCGTTCCGCCCGTTCCCCTGCCAGTTAGTGCAAGCCATTGACTTGCCGCTGCTTGCCTTCGCGCAGACAGAGGGCCACTTCTGCTACAACCTGGGGGACGGCAGGTACGTTACAGCCCTCTCCGCCACATTCCCCCCATCCCGCTGGCGCCCCAGTTGCAAACTCTCGTCCTCCCTTGCTCAATTTCCCCACCCCCTTCATCATGTTTCTATCCTCCCACACTCTCGCCAAGTGACCTGTTGTGCTCCATTATTCTCCCCTCCTATACTCTCTGTACCTCGCCGCGCCTCCCTCCTTGCCGCTCCCTCCAGGCTCCCCTGGCCCCGCGCGCGCTATCTCTTCCCGGACCTGACTCTCACGTTCGGCACCGGGGCTCGCATGGTGCTGCCGCCCGAAAACTACATCCTGCTCCTCGCCACCACTGCTGTACGCTCGGGACTGGGTGGGGTGCGGTGGGATGGGATGTGGGATGGGTTTGGATGTCTATGACATGCAATGCCATGCCGACCCAATGCTGTGACATGCAAGGAAATTGCATGGTGGCCGTGTCCGCTCGCACACAGCACAAGCGTCCATGCGACCCTTCCGCTCATTCCTTCTCGTCCGCACACTCATTCTCCTCTGCCCGCCCGTGCCCCCCCTTCTCGTCCTTCCAGGGCTTTGAGGTGCCGTGCATTGCTTGGCAGCACGCTGGCCGTTCCGCCCACTCATCCCCTTCAACCCGCCTGTTGCCCTCCGCCCGCTCATTCCCCTCCTGTCAACCCTGTACCCCCCTTCTCGTCCTCCCAGGGCTTCGAGGTGCCGTGCATTGCGTGGCAGAGCGCCGGTCCCGACTACTCCCTTGCTGTGCTGGGCGGTGAGTGGACGGGGGGGAACACGGAGGAGAGTAAGGGATGGAGCGGAGGGGTGAGAGGAGAAGAGGAGGATGGGGGGGAAAGGGTGAGGTGAGGAGAGGAGGGAAAGCAGGGGAGCGGAGGAGAGGGGTGAGGAAGGGAAACTGAAGCAAAGGTGGGTGTAGGAGGGATGGGATGGATGGTACGTGATGTGAGGGGCGGGGGAATGGCAGGAGAGGATGGAGATGAGGGGAGAGGGGCAATACTGGGAGTGGATCAAAAGAACAAGTGGAGGAGGTAGGTGGGGTCTTTCCTTACCATACCGCTACATCTGTTTTTTGGCTACCTTGCACTGCATTGCGCTGTTCTGTACAACTTCTGCTGGCATGCCCTGGTTGGCACGCTTTTGCTCAATCCCAAATCTGAATCTCAAATCTCACCAACTTCACCCTAACCAGCGTCATGTGAATCTCTCCCCAGTGTGGCCTCTGGGTGCTATGTGCAGACCTAGCGCTGCGCAATCTGCGGGTGGAGTTTGACGCGGAGGCCAACAGGGGTGCACTCTGTCCCCCTCTCTTGCCCATCTTGCCCTAATCCCTCTTCCTGCTGTGCTCCCCCCACCTCCCCCCAGACCTAGCGCTGCGCAATCTGCTGGTGGAGTTTGACGTGGAGGCCAACACCGTGCGCTGGCTGCCCTCCCAATGTGAGCCCTCCTCTCCCTCCCCGCCTCACCCCTCGCCCCGCCTCACCCCTCGCCCCGCCTCACCCCTTGCCCCTCCTCACCCCTTACCCTGCCTCACCCCTTGCCCCTTCTCACACCTTTCAAAGCGCCGCGCCCTCTGACGCGCCATACTGGCTTCTGCAGCTGGATTCAGTGTTATCGATGTCAGTTTTGAAAAGCTCTGAGCTGTGTGTGTGAGCTTTTGGAGTCTACAGCCGGATTTCTGTTGCTTTGTTGCTGTGTGTCGCGCTGTGCTATCCCACTGCTCTGCATCGCATGCCACGTCCTTACAAGTTACAACCGCATTGGCCAAGCCCAGCACTATGCCATCTGCCATTCCATGGACCACCTCTCGCCCAGCACTGTGCTGTGCAGCATCACCCTGCTTGTGCTGCCTGAGCCTTCCCCCGTATCCTCTTGGAACTAGCTTGTGCAGATCCCACCCCTCCGTTGCCCATCCACTCCTCTGGACCCATCCATCTCATGCATCCACCTTCCCCCTCCTACATCGCCCGCTGTACTGCAGGCTCCCAGATCCTACACTCAGCAGCGCAGACCACAGACCCCATAGATGCTGCTGCTGCTGCAGCAGACACAGCAGCAGCTGCTGCAGAAGCCTTTCCGGAGAGCTCTGATTGGCTCGCCTCTCTCATCCCGGGCCTGGCTGGAAGCGCCAACAGAGCCAACCCGAACCAAGGAGGCCCGTTACCGGACCTGAATGCCCCAGGCGCCAATCTTGCCTCACAAAACCCAGCACAAAGTGGGGGCTCGAATGGCGTAAACCCCTCTTTGAATCCTGCCGCAAACGGTTTGTCTGGTAATGATCCAAATGGCAATGGCGGCCTGCTGAACTTGATGGATGGTGGGTCCGGTGCGGGTGGCAGGGCGCCGCTTGTGCTTCCATACAGTGCTGCCTCGTCATCTATGGGTCGTATAGGGGTCGTAGCTGTGTTGGTGCGTCTGCTGCTGGCAGTCGCTTGTGCTGTATTGCTCGCCCCTTGACGACCTTTCAATAAGGTGTTGCCTAATGCCATGGCAGTGCATTTTTCTGTGAATAAGTGCAAAGTCTTCGTTCAGTTTTCAAGCATCCCAAAATAGAAGAGCTGAGGTGATTGGAATGGCCATAGCCATGTGACCAAAGGAAACACACCTAACATGGGTAAGGATTAGATCAGCCTGTAACAAGTTTTTGGCTGACAATTCGAACTGGTTGGTTGTGATAAAACTCGTTACAGCCCACTACAGATCGCGAAGCTCATCAATTCGCACAGATCCGACGGTCCTCTTCATTCGTATGACAGTGCGGCCGAAAGCGGACGCCATCCGTTCACACACTTCTGACACATCTTGGAGATTCAGTCGGCCAAGGAGGAATTGATGGATGGCCGTGGGGGACCACCTTGAGATTTCCGCCGCCATGGGAATTTCCGCAGCAAAAGTCAGAATCTGCGGAGCGCACGGCACGGCGGTCTCTGGGAGCACTGGGAGCTCTCTGCCGCTCATAACCGTCCGTGGGGCCTTGCGGCGTGAACTCGCTGCTCGCTCCCTGCATCTGGATTCAGCGGACCAAACAAGCAGAGACATGCTGCAGGAAGTCTATGTACCACCAGTTCAATCCGGTCTCGGACAACTCCCTACGCTCATACTGAGTCATTCAGGCCAGAGACATGCGTACTTTTGGGTCGACCAACTCGCGACCATGACAGCGGGAAACCCTCGCATTGTCAGTAACGAAGTCCTTATGATGCGTATCTTTCAATAGAAACGTCCCGCGCGTGCCAGCACATGGCGGTGAGGTTCCGACCTCGTCTGTGGCGCAGACGCGGTAGCGGCGAAAGAGCATCCGGAGACTCGTCCACGGATGCTCTCGCGCCGGCGGAAGCCAGACTAATAGGCGGCGAAACAGACACGAAGCTTCGCGACGAGAAGTCCGCGGCGAGGGCGCGGTCGCTGCGCCTGTGGGGACTGGTGCTGCTCGCGGGAGTCACCATCGGCGCGCTCTCATGGCTGCTCGCCACCGCCATCGTCGAATTCTTCGAAGTCCTCTACGCTCTCAACGACACGCTCCTAGGCGCGCACGCCACGGCGCGCGTTCCCTTCTCCCGCGTGTTCGTCGCGTCGCTCCTCATGGCGCTCGTCCAAGCCGCGCTCGTCGGCCTGGCGGCCGTTCTAACGGTCAACGTCGCGCCGCTCGCGAACGGCTCGGGCGTCCCCGAGATAAAGGGATTCCTTAACGGAAACAGCATTCCGGGGTTCTTTGAGCTGCGTACAACGGTCGTCAAGTTCCTGGGGCTGCTGCTCGTCGTGGCGGCGGGCATGCCCGTCGGCCGCGAGGGGCCCATGGCGCACATCGGCGCGGGGATCGCCGTTGCGCTCGTGCACCTCCCGCTCATCGGCCTGCACGCGCACGCGAGCGCGCATGGGAAGAAGCGCGCAGATAAGCCGCGGAGGGAAACAGGCCGCGTGCGCGGGGGAAAGCCCAGCGCGAGCAGCGGCAGCGGGGGGCATCACGGCGGCGCGGCGGTGGCGTGGATGGACCGCGACGAGCAGCGCGCGTTCGTGACGTACGGCGGCGCGGCGGGCGTGGCGGCGGCATTCAAAGCACCAATCGGCGGAGTGCTGTTCATGTTCGAAGAGGTCTCCTCTTTCTGGTCCACCGAAGCCACCTTCAAATCGTTCGTCTCCGCCACTATAAGCACACTCGTTATAGTCCTCCTCGTCGAGGCCATGGCCGGTATAGTCACATACGAAGCCTTCCTTTTATTCGTCCTAAACCCAGTTACCATATCCTGGACGGCCAAGGACGTAGGACCATTCCTCGTGCTAGGCGTTGTAGGAGGGCTGCTCAGTCGCCTTTACACTGTACTGTCGCTCAAGGTGCTGAGAGCGAGACGGACGGAGACGTGGAGGCGGCGCAAAGCTGTGAAGATCATAGATGCGGCTGTGAGTGCGCTGGTGGTGTCACTGCTGTTCCACCTCCTCCCAGCCATGTCGCCCTGCATCTCCCTCCCTCCTCCCACCGCCTCCGCTCCTGCTGCTCCCCCTGCGTCTCACTCCAGTGCCACGTCCACTGCACACGTGTCACTTTCTCCAACGTGGCATGCTGCTGAGTTAGCAAGCACATCTGCCGCACCGGTGAAACCGAGAGCATCGGCATCACTAGGAGTGTTGGTCCCTCGGGTCAAAGCAGCAAGCGCATCAGCAGCAGCGGCAGGCAGCACAGTTGAAGCAACAGCGCCACCAGCAGCACCAGAAGCACCAGCAGCACCAGCAGCACCAGCAGAAACAGTAGCACCAGAGACACCAGCAGAAACAACAGCACCAGAGACACCACCAACAGCAGCAGCAGGTGGCAGCACGGAGGCAGGGGGACACAGTGGAGCAACGGAGGGGCACGGAGAGGGAGCGGCGGGGCACATGGTGTTGGTGCAGTACGACTGCCCTGCCGGCCATTACAACGAGCTCGCCACACTGCTGCTGCGCGGGGAGGAGGGCGCAGTGAAGCACCTCATGGGCGACACGGCCAGCACCACCGCCACCGGGGAGGCCGTCACCGCACGGGTCTTCCCTGCAGGCGTGGTGGGCGTGTTCCTCATCGCCTACTCGCTTCTAGCGGCGTCCATTTCAGGCCTGGCGGTGCCCAGCGGGCAGTTCATCCCCCAGCTGCTCTACGGGGCGGCACTGGGGCGGCTGTTTGGCATGGGGTTGCATGCTGCGCTGCCGGAGCAGTTTGCGCAGCCCAGCATCTATGCGCACGTGGGGTCTGCTGCGTGCCTGGCGGGGTATACACACCTCACCATCTCCCTCGCTGTGAGTTCTGCAAGTGGTTTGCGAAAGACAAGACTATTAGATACAATTGATGCGCATGTGGGGTCTGCTGCGTGCCTGGCGGGGTACACGCACCTCACCATCTCGCTTGCTGTGAGTGCTGCGGGCGGTTTTTGAGAGGCTTTAAAGACCATTGATGCGCATGTGGGGTCCGCTATGTGCCTGGGGGGTGTATGCTCCGTACCATCTCGCTTGCTGTGAGTGTTGTGCCGGAAGTGCTCTGGCGTGGGTGCTGTGTCGCCATCTCTGTGCTTCATGCAGTAACTGTTCTTGCTCTGTTGCATATGCATGTGTACGCTCGCGTGCTTGTGTGTGTGCGTGTGTGTACATGTGCATGCGTGTGTGCGTGCGTGTGACGGAGAGCAGGTGATGCTAATGGAAGCATCAGGAGACATCAGCCTTCTGCTTCCCATCCTCTGTGGGTACGTGCACCCATCCATCACTACCCATGACCGCTATCCACACTGTGGCACGTTGCATGGCGCATTCACGTTGTATGCCACAAAATCGCCCCTCCAGACAACCCGACCATACACGTAAACATCCCTCCCCATCCCTATTGATGATCCCAATCGCCACATGCCTATCCTGATCCCTCTCCCCATCCCATTCCGCATTCTCACCAACCGCATTCTCACCAACCACATTCTCCTTCCCCACATTCTCCTTCACCACATTCTCTTCACCACATTCTCCTTCCCCACATTCTCCTTCCCCACATTCTCTTTCACCACATTCTCCTTCACCACATTCTCCTTCCCCACATTCTCCTTCACCACATTCTCTTCACCACATTCTCCTTCCCCACATTCTCCTTCCCCACATTCTCCCTCTCCACATTCGCCTTCCCCACGCCGTCCCTCAGACCATCGCAGCATAGCAGCGGCCAAGGCAGTAGCACAGCTGTTAGGACAAGCCGCACGTGCCACATCGCTTCTCCGTTCCCTCATCTCTGTCTCTCCTCCCCATCTCTCGTCTTTTCCTCCGCGCAGCATAGGGGTGGCCAAGGCAGTGGCGCAGCTGTTAGGCCGCAGCTACGACGAGGTGCTGCTGTCAATCAAGAAGATTCCTTTCCTTCAAGACAAGCCCCACGCGCGCCACCAGGGCTTGCTGGCGCGCCACCTCATGGACCGCCACGTGGCACAGCTGCGTGAGATGGAGACGCCGTCGCTTGTGCGGGCGGCATTGATCGGCTGCTTGTCGCCGGCGCTGATGGTGGTGGATGCGGAGGGCGGGCTGAAAGGGGTGGTCAGTCGCACCAGGCTGCTTGCGCTGCTCGCTGCTCATAACCACACCTGTGATGCTGCTGCCGCCGCTGCCGCTGCCGCCACCGCTGCTGGTGCGGCTGCTTCTGGTGCTGCTGCTGCTGGTGGTGGCAGCGATGGTGGTGCCGGCGTTGGTGACAGACGTGATTCGCCTCGTGCGGCTGCTGCTGCTGCAGGCCCTGCTGGTCCTACTGGTGCTGCGGGTGGTGGTGGGGGCAGTCTGGCACGACTGGGGCGGATGGCAGGGTTGCGGTTTAGCGGTGTAATGAAGCGGGTTCCGTGGACGAGGAAAGCGAGAGTTGGGACGGAGGAGGGGGGCGATGCGAGGATGGAGGAGGGGAGGAGGGCAGGCGGAATGGAGGAAGCTAAAGGAGAAGGGAAGGACGAGGAGGACGATGGGGAAGAGCGGGAGGAAGAGGAGGAGGAGGAGGAGGAAGAAGGTGAGAGCCACGAGTGGGAAACAGAAGCACAGAGGCGCGTGAGGAGAGAGAGACGAAGAGGTCACCGGTACACAGAGGAACTTGCGCAGAAGCTTCTGACGTGCCACGACGACAGCGAGACGGGAGAGGAGAGGCGGATGAGGGAGATGGTGCGGAGGGAGGGCGAGGAGCGGCTGTTGGACCGCACTCTGCTGGCCATGGAGACCAATGCCAGGCTGGCGGACCAGCAGTGGGCGGCAGAAGACGCGCTCTGGGCGGCAGCACCGTCTTTGCACAGCGCTCCTGCTGTCGCTGCCACTGCTGGGGCTGCTGGCAGCGGTGCTGTTGGGGGTGCTGCTGCTGCTGGCGGTGCTGCTGGCTCGGCTGCTGGATCTTCACAACGAGACGGAGTGGGGAAGGTGGAGCATGCGTTCAGTACTGATGTGTATCGTGGGCATGGGCATGGCATGGGGCGTGTGCATGGGTATGAGCATGGGTATGGGTACGGGCATGCCTATGGTCATGGGTTCAGGCATGGGCATGGCCATGGGCACGGGCAGCTAGCAGTAGCCCCTGCAGGCAGTGCTGATGGTAGGAGCTGGCAGATCCCCAGCACAGGCAGTCACAGCCCTCTTCCCCCTCGCCCCCCTTCTCTCGTTTCCACCCCTCCTGCGCCTGTGCCTGCTGTTGTTGCTGCTGCTGCTGCTGCTGCTGCTGTTGCTGCGCCAGATGCGCCCTCGAACGCTGCTGCTTCTGATGCTGCGTCTGATGCGTGTGCCACATCGATGCAGCAACAGCAGCAGCAGCAGCAGCATCAGCAGAAGCAGCTAGAGGAGGGAGCGAGGAAAAGTTTCGAGGTTGAAGGAGGGAGTGAAGAGACATCAAACGCCAGGGAGAGGGTAGAAAAGGAGGAGGGGGTGGGGGGCGCAGAGTGCAGCAGGGGGGCGGTGGGGGCGGTGGTGGGAGGCGGGGAGGCGGAGGTGCTATTAGATGTGACGGCCATCATGGACCCCTTCCCCTTCCACGTGCCCCTCTGCATGCCCATCCTCCGCGTCTTCCCCCTCATGCGCAAGGTGAGCTGCTGCATGGGCCGTGAGATGACTTGCCTTGCACATGTTGGCCGTGTCGTATGAATCATGGGTTCAGTGAGCCTCCTGTTCAATCCCTGTTCAGAATGGTGTAAGTCTCTGTGCTGTCCTGGCTGCCGCCACACCATGCCTTATCTTTCTCATCCGCCCTCTTCCTCTCTCCCGCCCCTACACACAGCTCAACCTGACGTACGTGTGTGTGGTCGACAGCACAGGCCAGCCGGTGAGACTCCATGCACCGTGCCATGCCATGCCATGCCGTGCTGTGCCATGCCATGCCATGCCATGCCGTGCTGTGCCATGCCATGCCATGCCATGCCGTGCCATGCCATCTGCCACCATCAGCCATGCCACCAGCTCTGTCACGAGCCATGCCATGCCATGCCGTGCTGTGCCATGCCATGCCATGCCATGCCGTGCCATGCCATCTGCCACCATCAGCAATGCCACCAGCTCTGTCACGAGCCATGCCATGCCATCAGCCATGCATCGCAATGTTAGTCATCAAGCGAAAGAACCTCCATTCCCCTTCCTGCATCCTGCGCATCAGTGAACGGCTGCGTCACCACAGAGAACCTTTGCATCCCATCCCATCTCATCCCATGCCACCCTAAGCAATGCCAGACCCTCTGTGCTCGCAATGGCGATTTTGCAATGCCTACACGCTTATACACACCTGCACTCCCACCTATCCCCCCACCTCCCTCCCCTCTCCTCCCCTTGTCCCCATCTCATCTCATGCAGGCGGGGCTAATAACGCGAGCCCACCTGATAGACGCCAAGCCAGTGCACACCAGCGTCACCACAATTGCTCTTCCCCATGCTCTCATGCCATGCTGTCCCGTGCCATCATATGCAAACCCTCATACCCCGATTCCCCCCCCCTCCACCCCGTTATCCCCTCTGCCCCTCCATTGCAGGCGGGGTTGATAACCCGAGCGCACCTGATAGACGCCAAGCCAGTGCACGCCAGCGTCACCACGTGGGGCCACTTCGGCCTGCCCTCCTTCCGCCTCTCCCGCCGCTTCTCCTCCTCCCGCCCCTCTGTCGCCTCCCTCACCCCGGAAGCCACCCAAGCCGCCCGCGACCGTGCCGCCCGTATCCTGGCGGCTCTAGACCCAGATGCTCTGGCCATGGGGGACACGGTGCAGCAGCAGGCAGAGGCGACTGAGAGAGTGAATCTGGCGTCCATGCTGGCTGCTATGGACTCTGTACGACACTTGTACCTGCAACCAGGCCCAGAGCATGATGCTGGGAGGATGGAAGGGCATGGCGAGGGGATGAATGGGCAGGAGGGGAGTGGTGTGGAGGGGGGAGTGGACGGGGAGGAGGGGGGGAGGGGGAGCGAGCGAGGGGAGAGGGAGCGGGGGGAGAGGCGAGGGGCGAGGGAGGGGCAGAGGAGGTGGGCAGGGAGGGTGTCTCCGAGGGAGAGGTGGAGGAAGGCGGTGAGGCTGGTGCTGGAGAGCCTGCGAGCCCAGGCTGCCGCGGCTGCCCTGGCTGCTGCCGCCCGCTCCCAACGCAACCTTGCCCTGCTGCCTGCTGCTTCTGCTGGCGGTGGGGTTGGGGGTGGTGCAAGCAGGGAAGCTTCTGGTGTTGCGGGCAGAGGGAGGGATGGTGGTGCTGTAAGAGTGAGGGAAGCAGGTGGTGGAGGCGGTTCAGAGCACAAGGGAGGGAAGGGTGTGAAGGGGGAAGGGATGGAGGGAGAGGGGAAGGCAGGGGAAGAGGGACGAGGGGCATCAGTGAGGCATGTGCATTGGGGAGGGGAGGAGGGGATGAGAGGGGGGGTGGGTCAAACCCTGGGTGATGATGGTGGGGAAGAAGGTGCAGCGGGGGACATGCTGGTGGTGAGGGAGGATGCAGGTGAGGGAGAGGAGGAGCGGGAGCAGGAGTGAGGGCAGGGATCGAGAAGAGAGCAGATGCTGGAGACAATGTGCATTTGGATTTTAAATAATTCGAAGCGGCGGAGGAGGGGAGTTGAGTTTGGTACACTAGAGCAATCTGTGCGCGATTCTAAGGCAGCAATGGCCACAGCTCATGCAAACATCTGGCAGTGCAAATCCAGACTGTCTGTGTACTGTACCATACGAGTCTGTTCATTTTTTTCATTCAATGGCAAATGAAAGCAGCTTGATCACAGCAATCGACACTCAGTGTTGGAAGCATGATACCGTAGCCCATAGAACTTGAGGCATTACACTCTCAGGGAACAGCCGCACTTATCAGGGCAACAAGGTGGCAGGTGATGTGAGAAGGACCCATGGCATGATGGCCTGTGTGCAAGCTGTGTGCTGAGTGCGTTGGCGTGAGTGAGAGTATTAAATTTCTCTTCAATTAACATCTGCACAAGAGTGTAGGTAAACCAACAATGTGAAACCTAAGGGCTCGCTTATTCTAATCCTTTGGGGGTCCACCAGAAAGAAACGCTACCTAGGCGGAGCAAGGACATGCTTCAATCTCCTTCCTTCCCTCATGGCCCCTCTGAATCTTATTCACCGCTCCTCTCGATTCCTGCTCCTCTGCTCCTCTGCTCAATCTTGGGTCAACTTCAACCGTTACTTCCTGGAGAACTGACCGCGCACGGCGCCATCAGGGTACTTCTTGGTGTGGATATTCCCGTAGAACCCACTCGGCTGATGCGCGATCTTCATCAGATCCGACACCTGCGAATGCGAGAGGGCCTTCTCCTGACCAATCACGCCCTCGCAGCGCCAGTCATTGTTGCTCTTCTTCTCGTACTTGCACGGCAGCTCCAGCAACACGGGTCTGTTCTGCCCCTTGTCGCCCTTGTGGATGTGCGTCTTGGTGGGCGGCATCTCGCCCTCCAGCTTTGACGCCTTCACTGCGAACTTGACCCACACCAGCTTGTCGTCCTTCCTGATCACACGTGGCACCACCAGGGATGTTGGGAAAAAAGAAAGAAACGAGGATTTAACATCAGCTGCTGTGCATCGCAGGAAAGAAGGACAGAGATTCATATTCTTGAAAAGAGGAATGTACGCATCATCCCACGTTGTCACAGATGTAATGCCTGAGGAGCTGATGCGAACATCAAAGATGTTCTTTCACAGATGTAAAGCTTGAGAGTCTTACTTGTAGAATTCCAGCTTCATCTGCCCCGTGCCGCTTTTGTCATTAACGGCGTTTCTGGCAGCCGCGGAGTTACCCTTGGGAACCTCGTTGGCGCCAATCAGCTTCGCCGTGAAGGTGTCTGCCGTAGTGTAAGAGAGACTTTTGAAAATTGGGGAAAAGGGATTCGAAAGGGAGGCCATGCTGAGTGAAAAGGGGATAAAGGGTGTCGAGAAAGTGTCAAGGAGAGGGTAGAGCGACGGGCGGAATGCGGACGCGCGAAGCACTGACCCGTTTTTTTCGGTTGGCTGTGATCATTGTGATCCGCGTAGGCAACGGCCACCAGCACCGCGAAGAACGCTGCACGCACGAAGGCACGGGCGATGGAAACACGCGATCAGGTTACCATACAGCGAAAACTGTTATAGTCACAATAGGCTTGAATGTGCCTAAAACGAAAGATAGAGAGCACAGACGGATTTCTGCACAGCGGCTTCAAACGTTGATAGCGTTCTGGTCACAGCTGAAAATGACTTGATTCAAATTGGATCTGGAGCGTCTTCACGTCGTCTACAATTAGCAATTTAGATTGCACGATTTGATAAAGAATTGACGACACAGCGTCGGTTTGAACGAACGGTACTATGGCAGCCACTATAGTCTTAGAACACAAGATAGGAAGAGTTACGAGTTGGGAATGACTCCCAGCTCCTACAAACCCCAAGAGCCGAGGTACAGTGATGTGGAACAGTGCCACACTGTCCCCAACCACGAAGGGTCTCGAAACTACCCTTCACTAGGGCCTACACCAAGTGAAATGTTACACTACACAAAGTAATGTAACTATCTTCAATATCTTGAGGTGTACCCTTTTTGGCGAGCTTCGAAATCACTTGAGGCTTGACACCAAGGCTCGGGCTCTTCATCACAAACTCATCCTTGAGTTCTTGATGGGTCTGCTACACACACCTGCGACACGCCGAACGTTCGACACAGGACAAAATAGAAACCGCGCACGACAAAATAGAAACCGCGCGCGAGACACAAACGACCGCGTAGCACGCGTCTAGCGATAACTCGCTATTGACTCGACACACACACTCGACATCATGACTCAACATTCACACACAATTATAAGCATGAAATATATATTATCCCATGCCCTCATACCATTCCATACACACACACATTCACGCACACGGACAACAAGCCGAGTGCAAACCGTAGGGTTGCACCAACAAACTCCCCCTCGGATTGTTGGCCTTAGGATATGTTGCTCTCTCTCAGTTCAGAGCCATCCCAGCCAGCTTGCAACACTTCCAATGCTGCTGCTCCACCAGCCTCTTGGTCATCATGTCAGCCGGCTGCCCCGTGGTCTTCACGTAGCGCAACTCAACTTCACCCGCGGTTACCATGCTCCTCGTCCAATGCCACTTCACCCTCATGTGCTTCGTGAGTCCATGCAACACAGGGTTCTTAGCAAGAGCAATGGCACCCTGGCTGTCACAGTACAGTGGGGTAGGTCCTTGCTGCTCCTCCCCCAATTCAGCCAACAAACGCCGCTGCCACACAATCTCCCGTACGGCACGGAAGAGTGCCATGTACTCGGACTCCACCGAGCTCAAAGCTTGGTCAACCTGCTTCTTGCTCTCCCAAGCAGTTGGGCCTCCACCAACACAGCATATGAAGCCTCCCACACTTGTCATGTCCTCTGGTTCTGATGCATATGAAGCATCCGAGTAGGCGGTGAGGAACAAACGCCCGGGTTCAACACCATCCGCGCCCTTTTGGCGCCTTTGTGCCGCCGCCGAGTATTGCAGCCCAACGGTCGGTGTTTGGCCAAGATACTTGGCCACCCTCATTCCAGCTGCTACCTGCTCCTCATTAGGGCATTGCACAACCCTAGCCAGCTGCCCGGTAGCAAACGCGACGTCCGGTCGGGTGTTTACCGCCGCATACATGAGGCTGCCCACCAACGAGTGAAATCGGCGCCTCTCCTCTTCACCAACGCTCTCCTCCTCTGGTCCCTTCACACACTTGAACCCAGAGGGAAAGGGTGTAGCCACATGGCCTTCACTCTGCCCAAAGTTGGCAGCCAATGCCTCCAGGTACTTTCGTTGATGCACCCGCATGCACCGCTTCTCCACATCTCGTTCGATGTGGAGCCCAAGGTAGAAGCTCACGTCACCAAGGGCCTTGCACTTGAACTTGTCTTGAAGCTTCAGCATCACCTCCTTCACAAGGTCAGAAGAGGGTGAGAAAATGAGGATGTCATCCACATAAACCACCATGAAACTCCTCTGCTCCCCCTCGCCAAGCATGAACAAGGAGTGATCGGCCGTTGAGGGAGTGAAGCCGATCCCCTCCAACACTTCGCGCAGCTTCATGTACCATTGCCTAGGGGCCTGCTTCAGCCCATAGAGGGCCTTCTTCAGCTTCCACACTCTGCCACTACCATCATCAAACCCCTCTGGCTGCGCCATAAAAATCTCCTCCTCAAGGATGCCGTTAAGGAATGCCGTTACGATGTCCATTTGCTTTACTACCCATCCTTTGATGGCGGCTCCCGCGAATAGGGTTCGCAGCGTCGTCGGCTTCACCACAAGGGCAAACAGCTCCTTGAAGTCCACCTTCTCCTTCTGCTGGTACCCCTTGGCTACAAGCCTAGACTTGTAGCGCTCGATCTTGCCGTCGGCATCTGACTTGATTTTGAAGAGCCACTTGGACGTTATCGCCGTACGCCCCTCCGGTAGCTCCACCAATTCAAACGTGTCATTCTCCTCGATGCTCTTCAGCTCACTCTCCATGGCCTTCTTCCACTCCTCAGCATCACTACTCTCCAAAGCCTCCTTGAGAGTTGCTGGTTCTCCCGGCATCTCCACCGGAGAGAAGAACGCGAAGGCACACTCCTCGTAGTCACTCTCCTCGTCGTCTCCGACCATCATTGCCGCTCCGGCCAGGGCTGTCTTGCCCTGCTTTCCCGGCGCATCATAGGTCAGCCTATTAGGGGGTTGAACTCTCCTCTTCCCCCTTCCTTCCTCCTCAGCTGCAGGGACTTGAAGGCCTTGGCGTTGCTGCGGTGTGGCTCGAATCCGTGGAGCACTCGTAGTACGGGAAGGAAGTGACGGTGCACGCTCGCTCACTTGCTGCACCTCCTCCTCTTCTTCCTCTGCATCATTGGCCTCCTCTCCCCCATTCACAAGGGAGGATTGCCTTGTGGTTGTGCTGCCGCTGCTCAGTTCCAAAGGCAGCTCCACATGCTCCAAACCGGAACTCTTCACCTCCCCAAACCGCACGCCTATCTTCGCCTCATTCTCCGCCTTCCAATCCTTGTACATGAAGTTCTCCATGAACTTGCAGTCCCTGCTCACCAAGAACTTCTTGGTGAATGGGTCCCAAAGAAGCCATCCCTTGCTGTTTTGAGCCATGCCCAAGTGCACGGCCCACACCGCCTTGGCACCAAGCTTGTTGTGCCGAAGATGCTTAGGCACGAGCGCCATGCACATGCACCCGAACACCCGAAGCATATCCACCTTTGGCTTCCTTCCTAGCCACTCCACATAGGGCACCCATTTGTCTGCTCCCACATGAGTCAAGGCTCTGTTCTTGGCCACACACGCGCTCCGCACCGCATCAGGCCAGAAATAGTCGGGTAGCCCGGCTTCAATGAGCAACCCGCGTGCCGCCTCCGTGATTGTGCGGTTCGCTCGCTCGGCGATGCCGTTCATTGCAGGGGAGTATGGCATGGTGAGGGAGTGCCGAATACCATTCTTCTTCAGCCACAACCCAAACTCCTTGCTCAGGAACTCTCCCCCTCGATCGGTGC